TTTAAGTTGTCGATCCTTAGTACTCAAAATGTTCTGTAACTATCATTGTATTAAATTTATATTAAGCTTAATAATAAGCGTACGTATAGGAATTGTAAAAATGATTATCCGAGTTACAAGTACAAAATATTTGATTTTTCTTATATGAATTTTAATTATATCAAACACCTTTGTTCCATTATACCATTTATTAAAAAAAAAAAAAAAAAAGTTAACAATTCTAATTGGCAATGATTTGTTCATGCAATGAAAATGGGTTTTATATATGTTGTAGGAAAAATGATTGTGTCATGTTATTAAGATTCGTTTTTCGTGCCTTAGATTTTTTAATTTTTTTTTTGCTTCAAGAAATGCGAGCCCCACAAAAATGTTGTGTGTGTAGAAAATTTTACCATGTGATGTTAAAGGACAAACAAAACCCCCAATGAAAATATAGGTTAACTTAGTTTATATATGGAGTGTCTTATGATAGTAAACTAAGTGCTTGTTTGATATGATGTATAAGGTCTACTAGTATAAGTTTATCTTATATGTCATGGCATTTTTAGTTGTTTGGTGTGACTATCTTATTATTATTTATGTTAGAGACTTTCTCAGTGACATATCATAAATAATAAGATACATAAATAATATTACACATGTTTAATATGCTACTTTATGCATTATTCCTACATTTTGATATCCTTCTTTTTAAAAAATTATATATGTCTCGCCTATTTTTATATCAAAACACAAAGTCACTTTAAAAATAATAAATCAAAGAAAGTAAATATAATTTTCTAAGCAAATTTTTTAATTTAAAGAAAATATATAATAAATCATGGTGTCAGTATAATTAACATTAACTTCAATTAGTTATTGTAATTTTCTGTATTTAAAATGTGATGTTGATGATGGAAGTTCCAACTTCTCCTCTCACCAACCTAGGACCACCAATAGAAACAAAAAGAAAAATGTTAATTTAGTTGTTTGTAATCAAAATTACTCCTAATTGCCTAGAAGGACTTTACATCTATGTTTTGGTAAACTCACTCAGATAATCTTTAATAAAACTCATACGAAGCTATACATGCCTCTTGTTTCGCACATTCTGTGGATACAGTATTATGTAATTAATTAGCATCATTTTCTTATTGATTAAAAAGCGAGACACAGGGCATATTTGGTTCACAATATAAGATAAGGTTGGATAGTATAAGACCTGATTAAATTTTCATATGTTTGGAATGGTATTGTATGAGATAATGTATTGTAGATGATAATATCATACAATATTTAGTAATATATAAGATAAATATCTTATTATTTATGATACGTCACTGAGAAAGTCTCTAATATATTATATCTTTTGGTGATCTCTAATATATTATATCTACCATGACATTGGTGTGCTATTCGCAACAACAATTTCATATATTATACACGCAGCAAAAGGGGTGGAACTACATGTTCATTTGGAGGCCTTTTCAATTTTTTAAAAATTATACTTGTACGAAAAAAAAAAATATAGGTAAGTTTTTCAAATTTTAAAACATACCTTATATGATACAATTTTAGCATATATTTGAGCCCATTGAATGTACTTATATTAGTTCTGTCCCTTCATAGCAACATCAGTTAATAGAAATGATATGGTACTTCAATATTATCGTTAAGTGCGTACATGACATGTTTCGAATTACAAAGGACAAATAGAAGTCCATTCAGAAAATAATCTCTTTAATACTCGCTTATAAGATTTTTTTTGAGTGATACATTTTTATTCTAATGTTTTTTCTCTCTTATGCCCTACTATTAACTTATTTTAATATTTTAACATGTCACCTATAATAGGAGAGTATCCATTATCTATAGGAGTAAAAACATTGAACCCATTCTTTTTACTTTTAATTAAAAACGGTGCTTATTTATTCAATTTAAAAAACTTGTCAAAATAAAATTAATTTTGTTCGCATTGAATCAACATGGTGTTGTTGGATGTATGTGAACTCAGTGTTGTGGAGTTGTCGTGTAGTTGTGGGAATGGGAGTTAGAGACAGGGAAGAGAGCGTGGGGACTGAAGAGAGATCACATGTGAGAAGAGTAAGTGCGCGAAAACATTGACAGCTGGATCTGCTATCGAAGTACATAGCTGCTATCACAAACACTCATATTGCAAATTGTCATTTTTCCCTTTTATTAAAACGAAATACTAATACGAGTTAATTATTTTATGTTATTTCACTTTTAAAATCTTATTTATTTATTTTTATTTTTTAATTGTGGGTCTCACAAGACTTTTTTCTCTAATACGAAAAAAATGAGAATAGCATTCGCTTTTATCAAATCTGTCACAATTTGTGTCTTTCAATAAGCAATAACTCCTTCACCTCGGCATGCTGGGACTTTGACTATATTGTCACCTTTTAGGCAAAAAGTTATCGAATTGTCACGTCAGGAGAAAAAATTGTCAAAATGCCACGTCACAATCTCGTTGGTCTGACAAGCGGAAATGGTCTGGACATGTGTCAGCGTCTGAATGGTCAATCATTTTCACTGGGCTGCTCAGCTAGAATGACAGAATGCTGACACATAGCAAAAATACAAGCATTCTCTGGATGTCTGTACTTTGTCACGTGTCAGTATTCTGTCATTCTAGCTGGGCAGTTCAGCGAGAATGGTTGACCATTCAGACGCTGACACGTGTCCAGACCATTCCCGCTTATCAGACCAGCGAGATTGTAACGTGACATTTTGAAAAAAAAAATTCTAACGTGACAATCCAGTAATTTTTTTATTAAAGGGTGGCAACATGGTCAAATGTCTCCGGCATGCTTTGGAGGCCTCTTTTCCTCTCCCACATGTTCAGCTGATTAATGCATCAAGCAGTTTTAGATTGCTGTGACTTGCATGCTGTGTTCCGAAATTATGGTTTTGTTTGAATTTTTATATGAAATTCATTTTGTTAAGTGGTTTCATGGTTTAGGAAACATAGTTTTGTTACGATTTAGTTTATAACTAGTTTATTGGATTTGAATAATAGATAATGCAGAGTCTCACAAGAAATTCCAATATGTTTTAATTTCATACCATATAAAAAATTATCTTAACCTAAAAGCTTAAATTGTTAGATGAATACCACATTAATAATTTTATTATATTTCTCTAACATCACTTGTTATGTATTATATTTTTTCGAATGGATTTTTGAAAAGTCTGAATTATATATATTTGAGATTAATATTTAAAAAACATTTTTAAGTATATAGAAGTATTTTGACTCTTTTTAAAAAGACAAAAATCTTGACTTTATGAAAAAGTATTATTTTATCTTTTATTTTACTTATGTTTTTTGGGATAAGATAGTCTTACTACCAAATAATATTACTACTAATATTACTATCATATCTTGACTGTTGATTTCCGTCAATCAACGGTTATTATTTTCATAAATCAAACTCATTAATTAATTATTAATTCGCAATAAATGATAACTATTTATTGACGAAAATCAACGGTTATTATTTTCATAAATCAAACTCATTAATTAATTATTAATTCGCAATAAATGATAACTATTGATTGACGAAAATCAACGGTTAAGATATGGTAGTAACATTGATAGTTACATTATTTGGTAATAACAATATCCTATCTCATGTTTTTTTTTTAAAGTATCATCCAAAACACACATTAAAAATGAAAAGCATTTTTATTTTGAAAAAAAAAAGCTTCTTAAAGAAAAAAAATACCATTCTAGTTTCTTCTTTTTTACTAACTTATTTTTTTTTTTTAAAAAAAAGTTGCATTCAAACACACACTTAAAATGAAAAGTACTTTTATTTAAAAATAAAAACAAAAACTGTCCAAACACATAGTTTTTTTTATTAGATTTTATTATTCTCTAACACATGGACTCATATGGGCTCTGCATACTTTTTTGTGTGTAAGAAATATATTTATCTCCTATGAAAACATTTAAACTCTCAGTTTAAAAAAAATAGTTGAATTCTTAAATCAATTAATAAATAATTCCATCATTACACCAATTCAAAAAATGTAATCTTTTTTTCTTTTAGTACAAAAAATGTGATCATTTATAACGCAGTTTTGTTAATTCATAATTCATTTTAATTTATATGATTTTTTATTTTACATAGCTGATATTTGGAATGTTACGAGATAAAACGGTCAATCTTACGAGCTAATATGGTCAATGCAATCATGATTGCAACGATTACTAGAATTGAAATGTCAAAGACCTCATGGCGTTACGTGGTCCACAATTAAAAATCCTGACATCAAGGGTTGGTCCTGTCTTGTTTGGTAATGGGATTCATAATTTAAAACCCTAGCATCTATGGTTGGGTCCTATCTGGTTTGGGTCAATCGTGGACCTTAAAACTATGAGTGTTCATTTCATAGTTATGTCTACGCTTTTTGTTGTATGCATCACATGTCTCTAACTTAATGAAGGCCTAGTGGGTTTTACTTTTATTTTTTGTAGTAGATTAGTGGATTTTACTTTAACAGGCCTTTTTACCGCCAATATTATTAACAGCAATAGTACCTTGATACTTCCAATTCATAATCACACACAGCCTTTAAGACAGACATATATATAAAAGATTATTCACATCAAATTAATTGGCTTAATTTATCATAAACGTACAACCCAATGCATTTTGTTCATTGCTTACGGTACAATGTAACATGTACACGTGATCATTTACTGCGAGTGAATGATTGCATTACATGAGACACATAGAAACACTTCAATTATTTACATCATGTCCCAAAAATTTTCGCGGCTGCAAAGCACAAAAATCAGATAAATAAACCAAAGCGAATTCAAAAAAATACAAACCATTTCAACTTCCTTCTAATGAAGTTGTTCACATTTCATGATAGTAATCCAAACAAACTAAAAAGTCTCCAAAAAATATATATATATATATATATCTAGCAATAATAAATCCGTATTATTTTTCAAAAAAAGAAAAAAAAAAAAGGGTTTGGTTTTAGGGTACGGCGCATCCATGACGCGAGAACCCGAGTCGCGACCTGTCAATGTCGAATTCAAACAAGTAACCTTGTTGCATCAGATTCCCTAACACCGAAAACCCGGAACCCGGTTTCACGGGTTGGATTGCCAGGCACATGACCCGATCCGCCGCCTCAATGAAATAGTTTCGCGCCGGCGGCGACATCACCGATTTTCCGACAAGAGCAATGCTCAGCTTTGGCAGCCTCGGCCTGAACACGCCAGAGACATTCACGCACAGGTCGAATCCCAGAGCGAGGTCCTCCGCTGTCGGAAGACTCACGCGCCGCTGGAACGCCGCCAGGACCTGCCTGTAAGCCGGCTCCGCCAGGAACGTCAGCGTCGTGCCGGAGTCCACGACGGTTCCGCCGTTACCTTGCTCGTCAATTGCCCAAACGGAATGACTTATCGGTAAGTTGGCGCCGTCGACGGTGACGCTGTCGATGCCAATGTAGTAAAATGAGGGAGAGAGAGGGTTATTTAGCAAAGGCGTGTAACTGAACTTGCGAGAAACGACGTCGTTAGCGGAACCGCCGATGGTTAGGTAGCTCTTTGGAGGCGGGGATATGGTGTAGTCGAGTAGACAGTAAGAGAATTTGTTCCCGAACTTGCGACCCAATTGGGAATTGAACGATATGGACCCACGACCCAAGCCCATTACTCCTTGTGCTCCGTTGAAGCTCCCACCGGTCACGCTCGGGCCGGAGATCCGAAACGCGCACCCGAATGAGAGTTTTTTTATTTTCGCTTCCCTACCTGAGCTTGTGTTGAACGTCGTCGTTTCTTTCGAGAAGAACCCGCTTGTTACGGACCCGTCCGCGTAGGAATACTCGTAGCGGCACGGGCTGTGGAGCCGGGTACGGTTGCAGGGTCGGGCGGGTTTCGGGTGTGGAACGAGTCGACACGGCGAGTCGTAGCAGTGGTGGGAAGAGAACGTTTTGGAGTGTCGGGCGAGGAATGTGGATTCGGGTCGGTGGTTGGAGCAGTTTTTGCAGGCTGAGCACTTGACCCATACTAGGTCGCTGCCGGTGTCGGCGACGAGGAGGAGGCGCTGCGGCGGCGACCCGATTCGGAGATCCACGAAGTACTGGCCGGATCCGGTGGAAGCGCCGGATATGAGCGGGGACTTTACAATGCTCCGGCGGCCGGAGAGGCGGTGGGTGTCGGCGGCGAGAAGCTGAGCTGGCGATAAGAGTGGGTTCCTCTGCAGCAACGGTAGCTTCAGGTATTCTGCGGAGTTGCAGAAATGGATGAAGGTGAAGACCAAAAAGAAGAAGAGGGAGGGAGAGGGAAGTGACGCCATTTTTGCAGGTGTTGAAGAACGAAGCAGAGAAAGAATGAAGTGAAAGTGTTGAAACTGAAGAAGTGAAAAATGAAAGAGACGATGATTGAAACTAACTGTTTTGGTGTTGTGGAGGATGTACTTTTATACTTTATAAGCATTTGGTTTTTGGGTGTATTTGTATTGTATTTCGTCGAGTAGGTTTATACGGTTATTATGCATACTTTGCTGTTTTTACCTGTGACCATTTTTCGATGCACGATCATTGTTTATAAGCCCGTTTATCATCCAATAGATTTCTACCACGTTACATTTCCAGCTGTTTTTTACTTCTTTTGACACACTTGCTGAATGTTGTCTTTTTGTTTTGTTTACCTTTAATGATATTATTGTCTTATTGATTAACATTATTATCAACCACGAGGCAAATTTTATTTATTTATTCAGCGTTATGGTAAGGACAGAAACGAAAAAGTGAGAGTCAATCTTATTACTCATCCTAATATGTATTTGCACATATTTGCAGGCAGTGCTTATGTTTATTGTTCACGGGTTATTATTATTATTTGGTAAGTGGTGTTTGTATGCTATTCTGGACAATAGTAGTGTTGTTGTTAAACGGAACGACAAAAGGCATTAAAAAAAGAGAGGAAAAGTTTCCAAGATTTTGTAATGCTTTATTTTATGAACCAAATCTAACTGTAGCATTAATTTATGCTCAGATTTTTAATGAATAAGCTTTTGAATATAATTGTGAACTACATCATAGGCATGGGAGCATGTGAGACAAGCATGTATCTGCGGATCAAAGTTGTTCGAATGCCTGGCTTGCAGTTGCGAGGTACCATAATATAAATCTGAATAAAGTTAAACGCATTAATTAATCAACTAATAACTTCACATTCCGACAATAGTAATAAAATGAAAAGACGATAGATTACCAAAAAAAAAATGAAAAGACGATAAAAACACACGGAGAAGTACTTAAATAAATATTTGCATTTAAGTCCATTTTTCTATCTAGGTTTAATAATAAAATTGAATAACATCATTGAAATTTCAATTAAAATATTATAACTTGTACGTTTGTGATTGCAAGCAGCTCTCGGTTACTAATCATCGATAGGAGGGCATGGAGGATCGACCAAGTGCAAGCCGGTGGCACATGCACCAATTAAAAAAGAGCAGTGAAAACAATATTTTATTAAATATTTTTGTAGGCTACAGAGCACCAAACTATTATTTTCTGAAAAATGATGAACTTGATATCTTTAATTTGTCATTGGATACCCGGGTTCACATGTACCGAGGTGATTAGGACACTATTACTTAAATCTTTGTCTTTATAGCTTGACTGCTTGAGAGCTTTGTCCCTTATGTTATTTGAGTAAAGCTTATGACTAGGATTTGCATGGGGGCATCTTTTGCATATTTTTATGTTTGACCAAAGTCATAATTAGAACCCCCCCGACATCTTTGATTAATGATCTTTGGGAATTTTTGTACGATCTGAAAATCTTAGCAGTTTCTTTAACGGAAATTGTTTTCTTATGCTACATAAGAGTGTTCTCTCCTACTCCTCTCACATTGAAAATTGAGCCCCAACTTTTTTTTTTTTATAAAAAAAAAATTGAAAGCCCACTTTGTTTTGTCTCAGCATAAGATAAAATTTATCACATGTTGCATAAGAAAACTAATACCCTTTCTTTAATATGCAATATGTGGTCATGACTCATGAGGATAAATCACTAATAATATCAGTTATAAATTCTCATTTTTAACTTTTTTAAAGAAAGAAGGGTATTCACATGTACAATTAAAAAACAAATTAATCTGTTTATCAAAAAAAAAAAAACAAATTAATCTCGAATTAATCCTTTAGTTAATTGAGCCAACCGAGTTGATTATTGTAGCAATTTTACTTGAATGAGATTTATACGATTGCTAAGACAATGGTTTAGTTTACTCTATAACAGTAACTTAGGAGGGCAGTTAATTAGGAAATTAATATTAGAGGTTAAAGAAGGGCAGCAGAAGTTAGGGACATTCACCATACTACCACAAAAATATATATAATATATCAAAATGTCACACATTTGAAAAATACACCAAAGTGCCACGGCACCATAGTAGTTGATAAGGGTGTTAATGGGTCACGCCGAGCCGAATTTTGGTCTTAAAAGTTAAGCATGTGTTTAAATGTGTCAGCCTGATCAGGCCTATTACATGTTATGAATATAATTATTAGCATGTGGCCTGACTTATTTACAAAAAATGAAAGCCTGATTTAGCCTGTTTAAAAGAAATAAGACAACAAAAATTTATCCAAACAGAATGTACGATCAACAACATTAGTAATTTCATAAATATTCATAAATTCAATGTATATCCAAACAGTATAATATAGAACAAAATCATTCAAAAAGTCTGTTTAACCAATAAAATGAGGTGAAATGGAATGAGGGGAGACAGAGCTATTAAAACTAGTATAAAATATATAAAAAAAATTAATATACTAGGCCAGCCTGAGAGGCTCTAAGGCCAAGTTTTTGAATTGAAGCCTGGGACCTTTTTATTAAACGAGCTTTTATACAAGTCCAAGCTTGATTCCAACAACCAATTCTAGACATGTAAGCTCAGGCCTTCACGAGCCGAGCCAAAGGCCCCTGAAAGGCCCTTGGTTCGTTTATCGCGATCACCCCTAGTCGCTGAGTTATGTAGCGACTATGGAAGACATGTGTTCGTTTTGCAGAAGCGTAAGAAGCCTGCTTTGGCCTGAGTATACCAAAGTCGCTACTCTATGTAGCGATTGTGGTTGAATTAGCAACTTTACCATAGTAGCTACCATTGTTGTAAAAAATTTACGTTTTTACTAGAGTGGTGCGTGTTAAAACGCAAGTAAAAACGGTCCTTGGTAAAAACTGATAAAAATGCCACGTAAAAACGATAAAATCTTACGTTTTTACCGTTTTGACTGTTTTTACTTAAAACAAAAAAATTGAAAAAAAAGATTTGCAAAAAAAAACAAATTTTTGTTTTCCCCAAATTATATGCACGGTATCTTGATATCTTTTTGTTTGGATATATGTCTTTTATAATTATCTCTTATAATGCTGCAATTCTATTATACGTTATGCTATGAGAATCGTTTTGTGTTTTTGGTCATTGTGTGCATTAAAAAAAGTGGAATTATATCTTAACGAGCGATGATCCAAAATCTACAGAGTGTATGAAACAGTTAGAGCAGATTAGTTATCCATTACTTGTTAGTTATCACTGTTTATAATTTTGATACTTGGTTATCAAAAATAATTTTTCTTTTCAGATAGATAAGTGGCTCAACACACATGTTCATTATGTGATATATTTTTTTACAGCATATATATAATTTTGTATCTTGACCTTAAGTAGTAGAAAGTAGAAACTTTACGTTTCGTGTCGTTTCTACCACCCCTTTTCGTTTTCACGTAGAAACTCGAGTTTAATAACATTGGTAGCTACCCTATGTTGCTACTTTGATTTTGCTAGACAATTCTCCCATAAACGATACCTATTTCAACTACTTTGGTCCACTGTCTAAGTTTAATAATCTAAAAATAAGAAAGAGGGATGTCGGTAATAAATTATTGAACCCTCTATTCTAAATATTTTATCTATTCTTAAATAAAAATTTAATATTGACATCACTAATGGATAGTAAACTCATGTTATTTAATTGAAATCAAACATAAAATTTTACAATAAGAATTTTAAAATGAAAATATCAAAAAATAAATTTTTAACGTTTTATATAAGTAATAACATCTCTACGATCATGGTGTACATTAATGAAAAATAAATAAATACTTATTAATGTTTTAATATATAATTTTTTAATTTTTATATATGTTTTATCATTTTTTGTAAAACATTATAGTTTAAAAAATATAATGTTTTAATATATAATTTAAAAATATTTTTTTAAATTTTTATATATGTTTTAACTCATTTTTTATAAAATATTATTAAAAATGTTTTATAATAATATTTTATAAAAAAATTTAATAATTAAATAATTATACATAAGTTTTTTAATTATATATTAAAACATTATAGTTTATGAACTATAATGTTTTACAAAAAATGAATTAAAAGATATATAAAATTAAAAAATTATATATTAAACAATTAATTTTATAAAATATTATTAATCTATTAAAACATTAATAAATATTTATTTATTTTTCATTAATGTATGCCATGATCGTAGATATGTGTTATTACTTATATAAAAATGTTAATAATTTTTTTTTTTGATATTTTCATTTTAACATTCTTATTGTGAAATTTTATATTTGATTTCCATTAAATAACATGAGTTTACTATCCATTAGTGATGTTAATATTAAATTTTTATTTAAGAATAGATAAAATATTTAAAATAAAGGGTCCAATAATTTATTAACGGCATCCCTCTTTCTTATCTATGGATATTAAACTTCATGAGAAGGAGAAAGGCACTTGACCAAAGTAGTTGAAATAGGTAGCGACTATGGTAGAATTATCCAAAAGAAAACGGGAAAAGCTGTCACAAGGCCAAAGTAGCTACGTAGGGTAGCTACTATGGTAAAGTTTGTCAGCTAATATATATGGGAAAGTAATGGACAGATGTCACAATTCCACCAAAGTCGCTACATAGGGTAACAACTTTGGCATACTCAAGCCAAACCAGGCTTCTTACGTATCTGCATGGCTAACACGTGGCCTTCCATAGTCGCTACATAATTAAGCGACTACGATGCTGTGGAAGTTGGTATATTTTTTCAAACGTGTGGCATTATGATATATTATATATATTTTTGTGGTAGTACGATCAATGTCCCGAGAAGTTACATAATAAAGTTCTGTAGTTAAATAGGTATGTAAAAGAGTGGGGTTATGGGAAAAGAACTTATTGGGAAATATGAGAAGTGTCTCAAAGTGCAAGGGAAAGCCCCTATGTATGGTGTGTTTGTGTTGTATTTATTTTGTGTAATAACTGT